AAACAAAATAAATTGATTAAGGTATTCTAAGGACTTCTTCACCTTTGTAGTCCAAGTCTTTTTAAACACTTTCTTGAATTGTTACCTTTTGTGTTTTCCCATACAACACTGTTCTCTCTACCAGAGAGAGGAATGGTGATTTCTTCAAGCCATTTTTGGGTTTTGTTTTTTGAGACAGAGTCTCACTCTATTGCCCGTGCTGGAGTGCAGTGCCGCAATCTCAGATCACTGCAACCTCCACCTCCTGGGTTCAAGCAATTCCTGCCTCAGCCTCCTGAGTAGCTGGGATTACAGGTGTGTACCACCACACCAGCTAATTTTTGTATTTTTAGTAGAGATTGGGTTTCACCATGTTGGCCAGGCTGGTCTCAAACTCCTGACCTCAAGCAATCTCCCCACCTTGGCCTCCCAAAGTGCTGGGATTACAGGAGTGAGCCAATGTGCCCTGCCCTTAAAGTTGATTTAATAACATATCTTTTTTTTTTCCTTTTTGAGATGGAGTTTCACTCTGTTGCCCAGGCTGGAATGCAGTGGTGCAATCTTGGCTCACTGCAACCTTCACCTCTCAGGTTCAAGCGATTCTCCTGCCTCAGCTTCCTGAGTAGCTAGGACTACAGGCGTGCACCACCATGCCCGGCTAATTTTTTGTATTTTTAGTAGAGACAGGGTTTTGTCATGTTGGCCAGGCTGGTCTCGAATTCCTAACCTCAACCAATCTGCCCACCTCAGCCTCCCAAAGTGCTGGGATTACAGGCGTGAGCTACCATGCCCAACCTTAATACCATATCTTGATTTTTAAATCTACCACCTTCTATAGCGTTTTTTCGTTTTTTTGTTTTCTGAGACAGGTTCTCATTCTGCCGCCCAGGCTGAACTGCAGTGGTAAGCTCACAGCTCACTGCAAGTTTGATTTCTTGGGCTCAAGAGATCCTCTTGCCTCAGCTTCTCAGGTAGCTGGGCCCACAAGCAAGCCACCATGCACAGTGATTTTTTTTTTTTTTTTTTTTTTTGGTAGAGATGTGGTTTCATTATGTTGCTTAGGCTGGTAGGGCTTTCTATTTATCCTGCCTCTCTCACCTTTTAAATTTAGTTTTGATTGATGGAGAATGTTTTCCACTCGTTTCTAATCTGTTAGTGCTTATTCTAGACATAACTAGGACAATTAATTTAAACACTTAACTCTACTTCTTAATAAGGCCTCAATAAACACCAACTGCATTTAAAAAAAAAAAAAAGTTAAGTATTCCAGCACATTAGGCAAAAAAATAATGACACAAAAATCTCTTTAAATGCCAAGATGTCAAATGTGTCTGCGTTAAAGGAATAACAGTAAGTTTACTAGGTTTACAGATTTTCATGAATGAGAAAATATACAAATATCCATATAGAAGAAAGAAAGATGAGTAATAAGGACAGGCAACGGGAAGAAGGGGGACTAACCTACTTTTCTTCCACTATCAGGTCAGTAAGAATGACCTTCTCCTTTCCTTTATCACCCTCTTCTTTCAAAAGAGAGATACGGACCTAAAGAGGAGATACTGGGCTGAACCAGACTGAAACAGTAGACTCATCCAAACCAGGACAGGCTGATAATTTACTCTCTAAAGTAGGATTGTGTGAAATTCTAAATTTTGTAGTCATCTCAAGACAGAATGGGAGGCACTGACCCCAAAAGCATCAGAGCCTCAGGTAAAATTGCAAAGTAAGCAGAGTTCTTAAGCTTCTCTTAGTATTCAGTAGATATAATTTCCTTAAAGTCCTAAAAGAAAGCTAATCTCTTCCCCTGTCTCAACCAAGTCAAAATTTCTATTCTGCTGGGCACAGAGGTTCATGCCTATAATCCCAGTACTTTGTGAGGACAAGGAGGGTGGATTCTTTGAGCCCAGGAGTTCAAGACCACCCTGAGCAATATGGTGAAACCTCTGTCTCTACAAAAAATACAAAAATTAGTTGGGCATGGTGGCACATGCCTGTAGTCCCAGCTACTTGGTGGGGGATGAGGTGGGAGGATCACTTGAGCCTGGCAGCACTCTAGCCAGGGTGACAGACTGAGAACATGTCTCAAAAAATAAAATGTCCATTCAAACACAGAGGCAATTTCTTAGCTACTGATTTATACCAGTAGTTATAAAGACTAAGTTTGCTTAGTGTGTATGTGTGCATGCGCATGTGTGTGCATGTGCGTGTGCGTGTGCATGTGTGTGTGTGTGATGGTTTCCTGTTTTGATTGTTGGGCAAGATATCCTGGAAGTGGTTAAAAAGAATTACCATAGATAACCGGGTTGAAAAGTACAGAAAACCGAAGATTTTCTCTTTTCTTGGAAGTAGTCCATTTCTCCTTTATTATGTATCTTTTTTTTTTTTTTTTTTTTTTTTGAGAGAGAGTCTCGCTCTGTTGCCCAGGCTAGATTGCAGCACTGCAATCTTGGCTTACTGCAACCTCCGCCTCCCGGGTTCAAGCAATTCTCCTGCCTCAGCCTCCTAAGTAGCTGGGACTACAGGCGCGTGCCACCACACCCAGCTAATTTTTTGTACTTTTTTTTAGTAGAGACGGTGTTTCACCATGTTAGCCAGGCTAGTCTTGATGTCTTGACCTCGTGATCCGCCCGCCTCAGCCTCCCAAAGTGCTGGGATTACAGGCGTGAGCCACCGTGCCGTGCCTCCTTTACGTATCTTTTTCCATCTTCCTCAATCCTCTTCTTTTGCCCCTCTTCCTTTTCAATTAAAGGCTGAATTGAAGAATGTTTCCTTTAACCTATTATAAGTAAGTATGTATGTATGTATGTATGTATTGAGACTTTGTTTCTAAAAACAAAACTAAACTAATATTTATGTATTAAGTAATGACTATGGTACCAGATACTATGCTAGAAGACAAAGGTAAGTGAGATCGACATAGTCCTTACCCTCACAGGGCTTCAATCTAGTGAGGAAGATAAGCTATTAAATACAATCGCAATTTTTAAAATGCTGCTTACAAAACAATGCATAGCATGATCCTTTTCTGTTAGTTAAAACAATTTAAAAGTCATGAAAATGGTATTCACCAAACAGACATTCTCAGTCAGGTGATTTATAATGTTAAATGTCTCTTAAAAACAAAACTGGGTTGTTTTTATGGTCACAAGTCTCCTGATTATTTTGTTTATTTGAGGTCAATGAGTCTAGATCAGAAAAAAAGAAACTGCAGCACTAGCAGCAAAAGAATTACTGTAGTTTGTGCCTACCTAATACAACTAAAAAATGTAAAAACTTTCAAAAATACAAATATACTATGTAGAAATAAAATCTTAACTTACTGTCTCCCTTCTAAAAACTCTAAAAGATTGACTGAATCTTTAGAATCTTTCTCACTCCAATTTCCATTCCCTGAATTTCTTTCTCTCAAAGCTATTTATTTCAGTTTACTTTTTAAAATAGAAACAATGACAATTGAACCATTTTGCATGACAAGTATAAGGTATATTTACATACTATATATTATAAATAGTATATATTATAAATACATACTATTTATAATATATACATAAATATATACAAAATATATAAATAAATACATATTATAAATATAATATTTATATAACATTCACCAAGAAAAGTCTGGAAGGGGCCGGGTGCAGTGGCTCACTCCTGTCTGTAATCCCAGCACTTTGGGAGGCTGAGGCGGGCAGATCACCTGAGGTCAGGAGTTCGAGACCAGCCTGGCCAACAGGGTGAGACCCCATCTCTACTAAAAATACAAAAATTAGTTCAGTGTGGTGGTGGATGCCTGTAGTCCCAGCTACTCAGGAGGCTGAGGCAGAAGAATTGCTTGAACATGGGAAGTGGAGGCTGCAGTGAGCAGAGATCATGCCATTGCACTCCAGCCTGGGTGAAAGAGTAAGACTCCATCTCAACAACAACAAAAAAAAGTCTGGGAGGAAATAAAATATTGGTGTGGCTACATAAGTTAAGCAAGAACTAGTAGTAAGAAAATTTCAAGAGAACTAACAGTTAAGTAGTTAAAAAAGAAGAAGAAGAAAGAAAAAGAACAAACTACTTTTAGCTAGCAAGGAAGGTAAGTGTTCCTCATGTGACCATGAGGTGAAATGTATCTTGAGATGAATTATATTTACTTTCAATATAAATTTACTTCCTGATGATTAGTTATGTGATACCCTTGGGATAACTTACCTCTGTCATTTTAGTGCCTTGCTTACAGCAAGTAGCTCAATAAATGTTAGCTCTTTTTAACACAACCATAAAATGTACAACAATCATCTATTCAGCATTTATGGGTAATTTTTAAAAATAACCAGAACAAACATACAAATAAGACAGAAAGGCTTCTACAATGAATTAAGGGCTAAAAGTGAAAACAGAAACACAATTTATTAGATGAAGATTATTTCCTTCTGTAGTTAATAGTCAGACTTAAATCTCTGCCATGGCAAATTACAGAAGCTTCTATGAGATGGTTATCACAGATTACAGATTTCAGAGCTGAAAGATAAAAAGATTTGTATCATGGCAGAGACTTCTGTTTGCTTGCCAATATCCAAATCTTTCCTTCCTTCTCAGTAACAAACGCCCAGTTTTAAAGAGGGCAGCCATGCATTCAGCTACATTTCCCTGTTTTCTTATAGCCTCAGCCTTGGTTCAGGAATTCTCCTTAAAGGAAGAGGATGCATCTTTCTTCGCCTATGCTTTGCTGCCTGGAACAGGACAGTGACGGTTAGAACTCTGGCAGCTATCTTGGACTTACAAGAACCAGTGCTACAAGAACATCTTAGGGATCACTGATAAAAGAACTGAAAGAAGCTTAAGTCTCTGATGACTTTATAAAGCCACTATACCCATCCTAGAGTTCTATTTCAATTATTATTTTCTATAAGAAAGTAAATGTTGCATGTTTAAGCCATCTGTGAGTCCATTTTTGGTTTTTCCTTTTTTGTATTTTGGTGGTGGTGGTAGTGGTAGTCATTTTTCTTTGCAACCAAATGCAATTCTTGAGTACTTACGTTCAGGCAGGTAAATAATTTTTATCTCCTTTTTAGAGATGAGACAACTGAGGTCCGGAGAGATAAGATGACTTGCACAATACCAAAATAGTGAAGAGATGGGTCTTGGCTCCTAGCCCAATGTTTTTTCACTAAAAACTGACTCGTAACACGTTCTAAATGTAAAAAAAAAATAAAAACAAATAAAAAGACACAAAATTACAAAATTTAGACTTTTTACAGTGGTAACGGTACATGATAATGTATGCATTTGTCACATAATGTGAAAAGTGCCAAATTTTTATGATGTGGAAGGAGACTAAATTATATCATATTCCAGTAAGGAAGGGAGAAAGATACGTGAAATAAACAGAATCAAAACCAGAATAAACAAAGATGTTGGCCAGGCACGGTAGCTCCTGCTTGTAATCCCAGCACTTTGGGAGGCCAAGGAGGAGAGATCACCTGAGGTCAGGAGTTCAAGATCAGCCTGCCCAGTGTGGTGAAACCCCATCTCTACTAAACAAAAACAAAAATTAGTCGGGCACAGTGGCAGGTGCCTGTAGTTCCAGCTATTCAAGAGGCTTAGGCACAAGAATCCCTTGAACCTGGGAAGCGGAGGTTGCAGTGAACCGAAATGATGCCACTGCACTCTAGCTTGGGTAACAGAGTGAGACTCTGTCTTGGAAAAAAAAAAAAAAGATATTGATTTATTATTCCCCAATTTTACTGTATTCCTCCCCTCCTGAATAACTAAGAGGAATTCAGATAAAAAACTTATTTTTTTCAGCAATGAGACTTCAAGATATAGGGTAACTTTTCCTATTAAATCCTTAACTGGAATTTTTCTTTACTCTTACCACCACTTTAAAAAAATTAACTTTGTTCCTAGTTTGTCACAGAGATCAATAATAAGATGAAATATCTCAAATTCTTTTTTGAAACTCCATCAAATAACATGTAAAACACAAAGCAGCTCATGTGCAAACTCGTTAGTGAACATAAGCAGTTATTTCTAAGTAGTCTGTTAAAAAAAAAGAAAATAAAATATTTTCAAATTTTAAGGACACAGGTATTTCTTTTCTTATATATGGTATATTTAACATAATATAATCTATGCAGGAGAGTAATCATATGCATGTTGTATTTTGGAAAGGTATATGATTTTTATTGACACAACATGGTAAAAAATAAACACGCAAACAGCAGATTAAATCCTAACTTCCCCTATTTACTTGCAAGCTACTTCTTGCCTCTGAGTCTTGATTTTCCTACCTAGAAAATTGAGCTCATACCTCTTCACAGGTTTGTTGATGGGAGGAAAATAAGAATGAATACAAAGTAACCAGCACAGTGCACGACAATGGTAATTGCTCAATAAATATTAATGCCTTTCTTGTCTTGAAAAGGAAACATAAAGAAATATGAAAATCTGTTCTGTAAACACCCAAAGTGGTAGAACTTAAAAAGCAAGACCAGGTTGGGCGTGGTGGCTCACACCTATAATCCCAGCACTTTGAAAGGCTGAGGCGGGTGGATCACTTGAGCGCAGGAGTTTAAAACAAGCCTGGGCAACATGGTGAAACCCCGCCTCTACAAAAAAAATCAAAAAATTAGCTGGGTGTGGTGGTGTGTACCTGTAGTCCCAGCTACTCAGGAAGCTGAGATGGGAGGATTGCTTGAGCCCAGGAGATCAAGGCTGCAGGGAGCCATTCATACCACTGTACTCCAGCCTGGATGACAGAGAAAGACCCTGTCTTAAAAAAAAAAAAAAAGTAAAAAAACAAAACAAAAAGCAAGCAAGACCAGTTTGACATACAACTTTAAAAGTCGTTTTTGTTTTTGTTTTTGTTTTTTGAGACAGGGTCTGACTCTATCACCCAGGCTGGAGTGCAGTGGCGCTATCTCGGCTCATTAAAACCTCCACCTCGGTGCGGTGGCTCACGCCTGTAATCCCAGCACTTTGGGAGGCCGAGGTGGGCGGATCACAAGGTCAGGAGATCAAGACCATCCTGGCTAACGTGGTGAAACCCCGTCTCCACTAAAAATACAAAAATTAGCCGGGCGTAGTGGCGGGCGCCTGTAGTCCCAGCTACTAGGAAGGCTAAGGCAGGAGAATTGCCTGAACCTGAGAGGCGGAGCTTGCAATGAGCCCAGTCGGGCCACTGCACTCCAGCCTGGGCGATAGAGCGAGACTCCATCTCAAAAAAAAAAAAAAAAAAAAAAAACCCTCCACCTCCCAGGCTCAAGCCATCCTTCCACCTCAGCCTCCAGAGGAGCTGGGACTACAGGCACACACCACCACGCCTGGCTAGTTTTTAATATTTTTGGTAGAGATGGGCTTTCACCATGTTGCCCAGGCTGGTCTCAAACCTGTGAGCTAAGTGATCTGCTCACCTTAGCCTCCCAAAGCCTAGAATTACAGGCGTGAGTCATCATGCCTGGCCTTACAGTCATTTTTGAAAGGCCACATTAGAGCTCTTCTCTGAACACTGCCAGAACCAAAGTCCTGATGCAGTTATAGGCCAATGAAAGCAATGCATCCAACATAATCTCTTCCTTCCAATCTTAAATCAGAACTGTAGCAAGAGACTCAGGCTTCCTTCTCTAAGGCACTACCTTGTGCTAGGAAATGTGGATTGCTGCTTCTTACTATCAGTGTTACAAATCTAACGATAAAACAGGGTAGGGTGAAGAAAAATAAATGGCTTTTGAGTTTCTCCATGGCACCAGTGTCAAGGGCCACAGATAGCCTGGTGCTCACCTCCGTTTCCCCTTTGAAAATGCAAGTCAATGGGAAAGTGAGGTTCAAATAAAATATCAAGTGTATGACCAGCTGAGCTGGACTACAGCTTTTTCCTGACCAAGACATTAGTATAGATCTTAGAGCCTCTGTTGTCTACATCTGCGAAAAAGGACACTCATCAAGGAAACTATTTTATCTCCTTTTTTCCAGTCTTAACAATGGGTTGGAGTATCCTAGATTATAGGTTTATGAAAAACAGATCTGTATCACTCAATAAACATATTATTAAAATTATAATCTCTTTATTATTTATATATACTGTACTTCAGATAATTAAAATACACTGCCAAAAAAAAAAAAACTCTGCCAAGGCCAGGTGTAGTGGCTCATGCCTGTAATTCCAGCACTTTGGGAGGCCGAGGCGGGCAGATTGCTTGAGCCTAGAAGTTTGAGACCAGTCTGGACAACATGGTGAGGCCTCTTCTCTACAAAAAAATAAAAAATAAAAATGAGCAGGGTGTGGCGGCATGCGCCTTTAGTCCTAGCTACTCAGGAGACTGAGGTAGGAGGATCACTTGAGCCTGGCAGTTCCAGGCTGCAGTAAGCCATGATCACACCACTGCACTCCAGCCAGCCTGGGCAACAGAGCAAGGCCCTGTCTCAAAAAAAAAAAAAAAAAAAAAAAAGGCACTGCCAAAAATAAAATCAAGTAACTACTATCTGAACTTCTATTAGGCTGCTTTAGGATTTTCGAATCAGAGAATTCTAAGATCAGAAATAATCTTGGAGGCACAGTAGTCCTCCCTAATCTGCGATTTCACTTTCTGCAGTTTCAATTACCTAAGGTAAAACAAGATATTTTGAAAGATCACATTCATATAACTTTGATTACAGTGTATTATTATTTACTCATTTTATTATTATATATGTATAGCAAAAAACATAGTGTATATAAGGCTTGGTACTATCTGTAGTTTCAGGCATCCATTGGGACCCTTGGAACATATCCCTCTAGGATAAAGGAGGACTACTGTAATCTCATTCAGCCCTACTTTTATAAAAGGTTATAAATACAGAAGGAAGTTAACTGACTTTGGCCAAGTTCATTTGGCAGAGCCTGTACTGGAATCTGGCCATGAAATTCTAACTAAATATACTTTTCACCACATCATGGTTGTAACAAAAAGTTTTGATTGAAAATAATTAAAATGATTGAAGTTTTTCCTTGAATAAATTATTTGAAACGGTTAGTAGCCTGTTTTTTGTTTTGTTTTTGAGACATAGTTTTGCTCTAGTTGCCCAGGCTGGAGTGCAATAGCGCGATCTCGGCTCACTGCAACCTCTGCCTCTCGGGTTCAAGTAGCCTGCCTCAGCCTCCTGAGTAGTTGGGATTACAGGTGCCCGCCACCACATCTGGCTAATTTTTGTATTTTTAGTAGAGATGGGGTTTCACCATGTTGGCCAGGTGGTCTCGAACTCCTGGACTCAAGTGATCCACCTGCCTCAGCCTCCCAAAGTGCTGGGATTACAGACATTAGCCACCATGCCTGGCCTAAAGGATTATTTTCAATACATTTTTAAATCCTGCACTTGATTCTGCCAGCAACCCAGTACTCAAAAAGGTATTTTGTAGACCCCAGCCTTCAAAAGGGTCCTTAGAAAGTGGAAAGTAATTTCAATATTATTCTAAGTAACGCAAAATTAGTTTAGTATGTGTTCAGAGATTCATAACATACCCCAAAACAAAAAAGACATCTGAATTGATGTTATTGTTATTAGTGCCCATAATTAATAGTGTTTTGAAAAGTACCCTAATTGTCTCAATTGTGCATTTTATCTCAACTGTTTTTCACAGAGCACAAACCAACTTGGCAAAAAGCATGCTGAAAGGATATATACAAAATATGTGATATGAACAATATGTACGTACCTTGGGAGAGCAAAGAAAGGTAAACACAACACAGACAGATTCGACTCTTAGATGGGTCAGCCAGGCACGGTGGCTCACGTCTGGTAATCCCAGCACTCTGGAAGGCCAAGGCAGGTGGATTACCTGAGGTCAGGAGTTCGAGACCAGCCTGGCCAACACGGTGAAACCTGTCTCTAATAAAAATACAAAAAATTAGCTGGCTGTGGTGGTGGGTCCCTGTAATCCCAGCTACTCGATGGTCTGAGGCAGAAGAATCCCTTATCCAGGAGGTGGAGGTCGCAGTGAGCCAAGATTGGGACATTGCACTCCAGCCTGGATGACAGAGTGAGACTCCGTCTCAAGAAAAAAAAAAAGGGTAAAATTTGGATAGACAGAGAAGGGCATGAGTAAACACATGGAGACAGAAATAAATTTTTGACTCCTTTAAATTTCTAAAATTGTCTAGTTAAAAAGAAAAAAAAATTTGACCCCCTACTACAAAGGTAGATGAGATCACGGAGAGCCTGAAGACCATGATGAGAAATGGAAGTTTCCATGTTCATCCTAATTATAACAGTGATATTATTTGAGATTTCATTTCTAATTCTAAATTTCCAAAATTTTAATTTTTGACCCTATTATCTCAGGAAGATTTGTGGAAATATTTGTTCAACATTTGTTGAACTTATTCAAGTTTCAAAAAACAAGAACATTCCTTAAAGCATCTCTCTCATCAATTCTTTAAACTTTCCCATAGGGAAAGTCCACAATCTCCCTCAAACAAAATTCGCTATCAGAAATATTTGCATTTAACCTGCCCCTAGTTTTAAACCAAGGTAATAACTTTTAGTGTTCATACTCGTCCATGAATTTAACAGAGCCTTCTTAGCAAACTTAGATGGTAGCACTAGCTTGTTCAATTGCATAAAATGTACATTATTCAATTTAGGAGTTTAGTGGACACAGAATTTCAAGAGGTTCTGTCTCTCAAAAATCATAATGGTTCCCGTTCATTTTCATTCCCTCATATTCTCTCTCTCCCTCTTTCCCTCTCTCTCCTAGCCATTTGATACTGTAAAATAATTGTCATCTAAGACCGTTGCAAACATCAACCACAGTAACCACATTTGCTCACTGAGTTACCACTTAGCAGGTGCAAAAAGGAAGTACTCTATTTCTCATCTCCTAAAACCAAAAGGGTTCATCTCGTACCTAATTTGTAACTTAAGGGAAAAGGATATCACGACTGATACTAACTTTCTCCTAAGTGTCAGAGGTTGCCGGCTTAACCAGACCGGAGAAAAGCAGGATCCCCGGGCCTAGCTTTGCTCAGCGGCGCAGGGAAGCATCGCCTGGAATTGGTGGGTGTCTCTCCTCACTAGTGGGCACCCGCTCGCCCATCGACCTGCCCAAACCCGACGGGACCCCGCCAGGGTCTCGGCTCGGCACCTACCCTCTCCTGCTCCCCGCCAGGAGCCAGTCACCCTCCTCGACCCCGAAGAAAGCTCGCGTGCCCTGCCGCGAGTGGAGCAGAAGGAACCCAGCGCCTCCGGCTGGCGCTGGGAGCCCCCTCCCCGCCGCTGCCCCGCCCACTGCACGGCCCCCGCCATCCTCACTGCTCTGGCAAGGCAGGCGAAGACCTGAGCCTTATCTCCGGACCCCCCCCACCCCCCAACCTCCCGCCGCGCTGCTCCGCACCGACTGCGCGGCCACCGGCCTTACCTGGCCGGTTCTCGGTGAGCAAGGCTGCGCCTGCGGCTTGCGTCCAGCGCACAAACCTGTCCTCCAGCCCCCAGCCCACCGCTCCGCTCTGCCCGCCTCCCGCCGCGCGAGCCCGCCTCCTGGCTGCCATGGCGACAGTTCCCACACCCTGAGGCCGCTGATTGGTCCGGTTCGGGATTGCTGACGACGCCGATTGGCGGGAGCAGGGACACGGCCGCTCCGTGGAGCCTGGGGGCGGGCGGTGGGGAGCGCCGAGGCTATGGAGCCTGGGGGGAGGCTGAGCCAGGAGGGACGTGGCGCTCTGAGATGCGGGCTCGGGAGGCCGCGCCTCTTCCTTCCCTAGCTTTCCCGGAGAAGCCTGTGGAGCAGGACCTGGGCGGGTGAGGTGCCGTCCCGAGACCCGGGCAGAGCCCCAGGGATCGCCTCTCTCTTGGCCGCTGGCCTGCGCCTGCAGCGCCCACGCGGGTCAGAGAATGGCTGTCAGGCCCATTCTCGCCCACAGGCCTCGCTCGGCTCTGACACCCCGGTCCTCCGTCTTGGCGGGAATCTTACCGGCATTTGTAACCGCACCAACCCCCGTTATGCTGGGCCCTCGGTCACTGTGGTTTAACTGTTATTTACCCACATTTTCTCTCGTCGATTCGCAGACAGCTCTTTCCTCTGCATCCTCCCCCAGAGAACAGACATCTGCTCCAAACCCCTCATTTTAAAGTGGGGAAACTGAGGCTCAAAGATGCACATGGGTAGCTTGAGGTTTCCAGAAGCTTTTGGAGCCACAGGCTGTTTACGAAGTTTCATTCTGCCAATTAGTTTTTTTCACCTGAAAAATTGGTATCATATACCTTAGGGTTATTCACGAAGATTGAATGAGATAACATTGCCAGGAAAACAGTACAGGCCAGGCGTGGTGACTCACCCTGTAATCCCAGCACTTTGGGAGGCCAAGGCAGGAGGATGGCTTGAGCTCAAAAATTTGAGACTAATCTGGACAACAGTGAGATCCCATCTCTACAATAGTATTTTTTTCTTTTTTGTCTTTACCACAATGATGTTTCAGTCTGAAGAAAATATTTAAAAATTTGCCAGGCGCTGTGTCACACATCTGTACTACTCAGGAGGTGGAGGCGGGAGGATCACTTGAGCTCAGAAGGCCAAAGGTGCAGTGAACCATGATCATTGTGCCACAGAGTGAGACCCTGTCTCAAACAAACAAACAAAGAAAAAACACACACATAGAGTACAGAATCTGCCACATAGTATGTTAGCAATGAAAGCTTCTGTTATCTGGAAGTATTACCAAGCAGATTGCCTCTGTTGCACAACTGGACTCTGTGTGCCCCTAACTGTATGATTTGCGAGTTATTTAAGTGCTCTGTGCCTCCATGTCCTTGTCTGTAAAATGAGGATAATAATAGTACCCTCCTACTTACAGCATAGCAAATTAATTTAAAAAGTGACTAGCACATTGTAAATTTTCAATAAATGTTAATTAACTATTCTTAGATTAGTGGCTGAGCTGGGACTATAACTTAGGTCTCTGGATTTCAACCCAATCGTATTTATTTATTTATTTAGAGACAGGGTCTCCCTCTGTTGCCCAGGCTGGAGTGGAGTGGCGCAATCTCAGCTCACTGCAGCCTCAACCTCGCAGGCTCAAGCAATCCTCCCACCTCAGCCTCCCAAATAGCTGGGACTACAAGCGCACACCACCACGCCTAGCTAATTTTTTGGCATTTTTTGTAGAGATGGATTTTTGCCATGTTTTCCAGGCTGGTCTCAAAGTCCTGGACTCAAGTGATCTGCCCGCCTCAGCCTCCCAAAGATTAGAGGCGTGAACCACCACACTTGGCCTCAATTATCTTTACTAACACTTCTCATCCACATACATAGATCAGTACCTCAAGGTTAAGCTCCTTTTTGAGGTTCAGGAGAAGAGGACCCTTGTCCATTTTATTTATCCTTTTTGAAGTTCAGGAGAAGACTACACTTGTCCATTTTATTTAAATCAAGATCTTAATCTATCTGCCTTATCATCATGAAAGTCCAAGAATGTTGTGGCACTACCTCAGCTGAAGGGTTAAGCGCAAAGGCAAATGTAAGGAAATAGTCATATTTGGCTCTAATGGATAAATTGAAGAGTAAAGGCACTAGAGAAGAAAGGATATTCAGGAGGATATTCAGGTTAGCGATATAGGAAAACTAAATTTCAATTTGAAAAACATGGGAAATTTTATTATCTAGGTATTGGTTATATATAATTAGTAACCATTGGTAGTGTCAGATCAGAAGACCATACCATATCCTAACACTACAAAACACTAGAACTAGACTGTAAACACACTGAAGGCAGGAACTATCTTGTGCATGTTTATTAGCTATTATCTAGTACAGATGAACACACAGTGCCTGAATTAGACGTTAAAACTTAGGATAGGCCAGGCAGGTAGGTGGCTCACACCTGTAATCCCAACACTTTGGGAGGCTGAGGTGGGCAGATCACTTGAGGTCAGGAGTTTGAGACCAGCCTGGCCAACATGGTGAAACTTTCCTGTCTCTACTAAAAATACTAACATGGTGAAACCCCGTCTCTGCTAAAAATAGCTAAGTGTGGTGGTGAACGCTTTTAATCCCAGCTACTTGTAAGGCTAAGGCAGGAGGATTGCTTGAATCAAGGAGGTGGAGGTTGCAATGAGCCGAGATTGCGCCACTACACTCCAGCCTGGACAACAGAGCAAGACCCTGTCTCAAAAAAAAGACCTGTGTTGGGCCCAGTGGCATATACCTGTAGTCTCAGATACTCAGGAGGCTGAGGCAGGAGAATAGCTGGAGACCAGTTCTGGGCTGTAATGTGCTATGACAACTGGGTGTCTGCACTGTTTGACATTAATGGGGTGAACTTGGCTGGGCACGGTGACTCACATGTGTAATCCCAGCACTTTGTGAGGCTGAAGCCGGCAGATCATCTGAGGTCAGGAGTTCAAGACCTGACCAACGTGGCGAAACTCCATCTCTACTAAAAATACAAAAATTAGCCAGGCATGGTGGCAGATGCCTGTAATCCTAGACACTTGGGAGGCTGAGGAGTATGGCTTGAACCTGGGAGGCAGAGGTTGCGGTGAGCACTGTTGAGATTGCACTGTTGCACTCCAGCCTGGGTGATAAGAGTGAAACTCTGCCTCAAAACAAATGAACAAACAAAAAAGTGTGAACTCCTAGGAGCAGGAGACTGATGCAGGGCAGGAAAGCCCCAAAATTGAGGGTTCTTGGCTTCACCCAGGAAAGAATTCAAGGGTGAGCTGGTGGTGTTAAACAGCAACTTTTATTGAAGCAGCAATACACGGCAGCAGCAGAGGTACTGCTCCTTGCAGAGTAGGGCTACCCTGTAGGCAGTGTGCCCAGAGCAGCAACTCAGAGGCAGTTCTGCATTCCTGTTTATACTGATTTTATTTTATTTTTATTTTTATTTATTTATTATTTATTTTTTATTTATTTATTGAGACAGAGTCTCACGTTGTCACCCAGGCTGGAGTACAGTCTCAGCTCACTACAACCTCCACCTCCCGGGTTCAAGCGATTCTCCTGCTTCAGCTTCCTGAGTAGCTGGGATTACAGGCACCCACCACCACGCCCAGATAATTTTTGTATTTTCAGTAGAGACGGGGTTTCACCATGTTGGTCAGGCTGGTCTCAAACTCCTGACCTCAAGCAATCCACCCACCTCGGCATCCCAAAGTGCTGGGATTCTAGGCATGAGCCACTGCATCTCACCCTATACCCACTTTTAACTATATGCAACTTAATGGGCAGTTTATGCAGAAATTTCTAGAACGAGGGTGGTATCCTCCAGGTTGTCAGGTCATTGCTACAGAAAGGGGCCATAACTTCAGGGTGTTGCCATGGCAATGGTAAAATGACATGGCACACTGGTGGGCATGTCTTATGGGGAGGTGCTTCTGCTCCAAACCTGTTTCAGCTAGTCCTCAATTTGGTCCGGTGTCCAAGCTCTGCCTCCAGCGTTGAGTTCTGCCTCCTGCCTCAGTACCACCAGGTTTCCTAAGGAGGCGTAAACAGGTCCAGGTTGGAAACAGAGCAGGTCAGAAATTCCTTTGCTGATCAGTAGTGGGATCACGCCTGTGAATAGCCACTGTGTTTCGGCCTGGGCAACATAGCAAGACCCTGTCTTGCCTAAAGCAGTTCATTTGTGTGCACAATTTAGAAAAAGCTGCTTTTAGAACCAGATAAATTGAATGGGAGACCTTCTTTATGTTTGTCCTGGTTTCAGTCAACTAAAACCCTTTTTATCCCCCTTTTCTTTTAGAGATAGGGTCTCACTATGTTGCCCAGTTAGTCTTGGACTCGTGGCATCAAGCAGTCCTCCCACCTCAGCCTCCCAAAATGCTGGGATTACAGGCATGAGTCACTGCACCTGGCCTATGCCTGTCTCTACAAAAAGAACTTTTTTAAAATTAGCTGGGAAAGAATCCACAGACCCTTTGAAAGATGCAGCAGGCTGCAGCCTACTCTGTGAGACAGGTGAAAAACTGTAAGTTCCCAGAGTGTGAGAGGGGGAGAGTCTTCCTCCAAGCACACATTCCTACCAGGGAATCTGAAAATCTAGTCCACAGGAGAAGGCTTCAACCCTACCCAGAGCTGGAATGGATTTAGGGAGTGGCATGAAATAAATAAACGTAGAAACAGTAGTGGGAAGTGCCTTGTAGGCATTCCCAGTCTCCACTTTGAAAGGAGGGAAGCCATTCCTGACTATCTTACAGGGGCCCTCGGGGAAGTCAAACTCAGGGAGGGGTCACAGGGTGAAGGAAGCTCCCAACTGAATTTTATGATATAATCTGGAGTGGGAATGAACTCCCTTGAGCAGAAACCAGGGGGCAAGCGAGAAGTGTGCAGGAGACACAAGCATACATGCTGGGTGCTCAGCCTTACCAGCAGATAGGGAAGGGCATGACCTGAAAGCTGTGGTTTCAGGTCACAGTGTGCACAGACTGCCTGGATCTAAACTCAGTGCTGTTAGCAGGGCACTGAGGGAGCAAGACCAGCCTTGCCAACTGCATGGGAGCTGGGTGAGGCTTGCTGGTGCCTGCTACTCCCCACTCCCTTTGTGAACTCATATACTCCCTTCTGGAACAAA